ATATGGATTAAAACTTCAATATATGTATTTTGGGAGGAAACAAACATTCAGTTCATAACACAGAGGTAGCTAGAATTCTTACATATCTCCTTCCTACATTGTAAGGTCCCTGAGAGCTAAGTTTCTGCTTCTGCCCTTCCATGTGCACCCTGCAGGCCCCAGCACATTATCTCTGGAAGAAGTGGTATTCACCAACCTACAACTGAACAACTAACCCTGAAAGTGTTTGTTGGTCCCCAGCTGCGGGCTCAACTTTGTTAAAAATATTGCTGGAATCAGCAGAGCCAAGAAAATGGGTGATGATCCTATTGGAAACCAAATGAGCCAAAGAACAGCATTAGCTTTCAGAAGTGTTAAGAAATTATTCAAGTGATGGATATGCTGATGACCTTGATTTGATCATTATACGATATATACATGAATCAAAACATTACATTGTATCCCATAAACAAACATGATTATTAGGGATTGATCAAAAATTTAACAAGTTAGAAAAAAGGAAACTTGGTATGTTAGTTAGGTTTTTATTGCTGTTACCAAAATATCCGACAAGAACAATTTAGAGGAGGAAAAGTGTAATTTGGGCTCATGGTTTCAGAGGTCTCAGTCCATAAATTGGCTGATTCCCTTGTTCCCTGCCTGAGGTGAGGCAGAACATCAGGGTGGAAGGGTGTGGCAGAAGAAGTCCGGTCAGCTCATGGTGGCTAGGAAGCAGAGAGCATGTGGGAGGAGCCAGAGACAAGATATATAATCCCCAAGGCAGGCCACCTGTGACTCACTTATTCCAACCACACGCCACCTGCCTATAGTTACCACTGAATAATTCACTCAAATTATTTATACCTTAAATGGGTTAATCGAATCATTTTACCTCTGCATTAGCCCAGGAGCTTTTGGGGAACACCTCATATCCAAACCATAACACGTGGTTTCCATTTGTGTGCAGGCTCAGAAGCTACGGCGTCTTCTCAAGGTGGAAATCCTGAATTATAAACTCTGGTCTTTGGATCTTTGGTAGAGGAACTTTGAGATCTTCCTCTTGGGCCTTATGGTGTGACAGCTTCACACTGTCAGGGAAGCAGCCTTCTATTTGAGGAATGAAGAAGGAATCTAAGGTTCCTTCCTGATTGTTTAGGCTTCTGCACCACTGCATGGGGATCCATTCTTAAGGCGCTGTGGGAGAGGTAGGGTCACGTGGCATTCAAATTTGTTATATTCAAGTATACGCATAGCTAAACTTTCAGCAAATGCACACTTAGGATTTGTGCATTTCTTTGTATATAAATTTTACACTTAACAACTGTTAACATATATTGAACTCTCATAAATGTTTTGCATGTTTAAGTGTTTTGGGGTTACTGATGCTTATAATTTACTTTGAAATGAATAAAAAAATAAGATGAAAGAATTCAAACACCTGAAATAAAATGTTAATGACAGGATATTGGTGGGCATGTAGGAATTCACTGTCAAAAAAATCTTTCAACTTTTAAATATCTTATGGATTCTCTTTCTGTGGGGAACCCTGACTAACCCACACCCAGAGTTTTCTGATTAGGCAGATCTGGCGTGAGGCCTGGGTCCATGCATTTCTCTCACCAGTTCCCTGGTGATGCAGCTGCTGCTGCTCTGGAGCCACATGTTAGAATCACCACTGGATAAAGTTTTCTTTTCTTTTTTCTTTCTTTCTTTTTTTTTTTTTTAATTTTTATGATGGTGGTTGTTCCTTGAGACTAAAATCATCTTATTTAATAAAATGACTTTTGTAACTTTTTTAAAAAAGAGAACAAGTTTCACATTCTTCTAAAGCATTTAAAGATTGCAGAATCTCAAAATGATAAATTTGCTATGACTAGGTTCTTGGGTTTGAGTAGCAACTGAAGAAGAAATAATTTCAAGGGGATATGGAAGATCGAAGATCATGCCTAGTTGGAGGGTGTATGCTTTCTAGAGGCCAGTGGTATGTCAGTCAGGGTATGAGCAGCAGCCTGTCATAGAGAAGGAAATAAGAGGAGCATTATCTGGTGAGAATTTAAATAATAAAATTAACCAAAAGTTGGTGTCACTATGTAATGGCAGTTTCAATCTATATTGTTGGTGAAAAACTCCCTTGAATCCTGGATTGCTTTGAATTTCTTCCGTAAGGGCCATGTTCCCTTCTGTTATACTGAGGCAGGAGACCTGTCCATTTGGGGACCTGTCTGAATAATTCAAATGGGATAACCCCTATCCTTGAGGAAAAGCAGATATGGGCTCAGTCCTCTCTGTTGGTTGCTCATAGAGAAGTTGTTGGAGAATTGCCTTCCTTCTTCCTTTAAAATTCTCTGTGCAGATGTTGTGCACCCTTGGTGGCTTTATGGTAAAAACTTGGACACCACTGGGTTTTGTTGAACTGTTCAATGCTGATAATGCAGCTCATCCATCATTGCAAATGTACTGAAGCCTTTTTCATTCTTCTGCACTATTCTTAGAGAAAAAAAAAGGCAGCTACAACTCCATTTACTGTAGCTTCACTTATAAGAGCAGTTTTATGTAGGAAAGGACACAGGTACCAACTCGATGGCACTCCCAATGACCAAATCTGTGACAATTTGAACAAGAAAATAAATAATGGCAATAAATACACAAAATAAAATAGATATTCACAAGTCCATACTCAGATAAGTAATTGAACAAATAAAATGAGAGAGAGAGAGAGAGAGAGAGAGAGAGAGAGAGAGAGAGAGAGAGGAGGCAGCACCTCCTTATAGCAGAATTTCAATTATTAAATGTCAAGGGAGTGAGGAGAATATAAAATATGTAAAATGATTTGTTACACACCACACTGATGGCTGCAGATATGGGCCAAGGATGGATACAAAAAGGAGTGGACCAAAGCATTATGTAAAACAGATATTCACATTCTCAAAGTACTTCCCTACAAGACACTGAAGAATAGACAGTAACTCTGCAGTGGAGAATTCTGGTAGATACAACTTCAACCAAGAGATCAAGGTCAACATCAGCAGATAGAGACAAAAATAACATTTTCATGTCACGTATCTCTAATATGATTCACCAGGGAGAGGACAAGATCACTTATAGGATATTCCTGCCAGAAATGTATAACCTCAAACAACCATGAGAAACATTAGACAAACCCAAAACAAGGAACATTTTATGGAATGACTGGCAGATTTTAAAATAATTTTTTTGGTTTTTAAAATAATTTTTATTTTTTAAAAGTAAATAGTACATTACAGGGGAGAAAAACACAAGCAAAGAACAGTCATCCAGTCACAAGAAGCTTAGTTGGATGTGTCCCTCTAGGTGTATATATTGTGTATATATTGCATATATATATAATATCCCATTTTGTGTGATTCAGATTGTGGTGTGTATCATGTTTTCCCACACATCATGAATATTCACCAATTCAAAATCCTGAAGCTACATGAGTATTTTTTGATAACCAAGAATACACTACACTAACTCAATCTGTCATCCTTTCTTGGGGATGGCAGATATTCTTCCATAGTATCAAGGTCATGATAGACAAAGATAGATGAGTTTCTCTGGACAGGAGGTCGTAAGAAAGACACTCAATTAAAAACAATTGGAAGGAGACCCTCAGGGTTATAAAAAATTACATACAAGAGGAAGTGAGGGGAAAGGGGAAAAAAAACAAGGGGGAGAAATGAACTACAGTAGATGGGGTAGAGAGAGAAGATGGGAGGGGAGGGGATGGGGGATAGTAGAGGATAGGAAAGGCAGCAGAATACAACAGACACTAGTATAGCAATATGTAAAACAGTGGATGTGTAACCGATGTGATGCTGCAATCTGTATCTGGGGTAAAAATGGGAGTTCATAACCCACTTGAATCAAAGTGTGAAATATGATATGTCAAGAACTATGTAATGTTTTGAACAACCAACAATAAAAATTAAAGGAAAAAAAATAAATAAAATATTAAAAAAATAAAAACAACCTAGAATCCAAGCTCAGAATCTGCACTGTGGACCAGAAAATGGGTAGTAGTGCTATAATTTGCAGAATTTGAATATACAGTGTAGATTACTTAAGAGTATTGTACCAATGTTAACTTCTTGGATTAGATTATTGTACTGATGCTAACATTTGGGGAATCTGGGTGAGGTCAGTTACACAGGTACTACTTGTGTAAACTTTTTGTAAGGCTGAAGTTATTTCAAAATAAAAAGTAAAAAATAAGAGTGGGTTCTAGACTCCTTCAAATCTGGCTACACTACTTACTAACCATGTGATTCTGGGCAAGTCCCCTCATTTCTCCTTCCCTCATTTCCTCATCTGTATAATGGGGATAAATTTAGTACCTACCTCAGGGGGTTGCAATGAAAATTAAATGTGTCAATATATGTAATGTGCTTAGAACTCAGCATATTGGCTCAGAGAAAGAGCTATATTATTTTATGTAATTATCAAACAACATCAGCAGCATCTTCTGTTGATCTTACAAATCTCTCTGTCTTTCTCTTTCTGGAAGATGGGAAGTTTCTGATGTTGGCCTTGGTGCTGATTTCTTCTCCAATCAGCTATTTTAAACTGTTTTGTCCTAAAAGCATCTTACCCTAGGCCAGTATCTTGATAAAGCCAAATTCAGCATCATGATTTGTACCTTAAGGATCATCCACCTTTAAAGGAATCAAAATAACTGCTCTCTCAGGGTTGCAATCAGGGAGGTGCCTGCATTTGAAAGACGAAGCCTTCTGGGGACAGTTTCCATCATTGAAAGGTCCAGATGAGTGGCAAAGTTCTGCTTGGCCGGAAGCTGGAGAGAGTTTTCAAGGACCTGTGGCACCAACGGCCCTAGTTGTTTTGGGATGTGTGTGTGTGTGTGTGTGTGTGTGTGCATGGGTGTACCTACTTCACACTTACTTGTCTGATCTCCCACTCCGTGTCATATTTCAAAATTGGTTTGGCCAATAAGACTGCAGCACACACACACCAGCCTCAGTCCCTGCCTGAGGCCTTAACTTTGATGTCACAATCTGACCTGTGGGTATTAATCTGGCCACAGCTGTCCACAGACCAGACGGCAGGGTCAAGAGGACCAGTACAGTAAAGATGTGGAGGAGAATCGACCATCAACCCAAGATCAAAGCAGGGGATGAACCTCAGGCGAGCCAGCTCAAAGCTTTGGGTTCAGCTCGGGAACTCGCCATGCCAAACCCTCTTGAGCTGTCAGCATTCCGGAGCTTCCCAGTGTTTGAGGACATTAGCCATCACATCAAAGAAGTGGGAGGCCAGCTAGTAAAGAAAGTCAACGCCATCTTTCAGCTGGACATCACCAAAGATGGTAAGATCATTCTGCAGTGGACCATTGACCTGAAGAGTGGCTCTGGGGACATGTATCCAGGATCTTCTAGGCTCCCAGCAGACACTGTCTTCACTATTCCAGAAAATGTCTTTATGGAGTTAGTTTTGGGCAAAATGAATCCGCAGAAGGCTTTCCTGGCTGGCAAGTTCAAAGTGAGTGGCAAAGTTCTGCTTGGCCAGAAGCTGGAGAGAGTTTTCAAGGACTGGGCTAAAATTTAAGCATGGAAAAATACCAAGGAAAAGATCAAAAATTCTCTCTGGTTACAATGTCAAGTGGAAATCATGCTTAAACTGAAGATTAAAGTAAAAAGTATCCAATATTTTTACTCAAATTCTTCCTATTCAAGTTTGATTAATTTTCCTGCTGATGTGTATATTTGCAGTGGGGTCTGGAGCAGTAAAGAGAGTTGGAGTGCATCACCTAAAATTTTTGTCTTTTTTTTTTTCTTAGTTCCATTTATGTCATCATATGCCAGGGTGAAAGCCATATGTAGGGAAATGGGTGATTTTGATAGTTGGATTTAAATGCTCCAATGATTGTGTTCTTAAGATTTTTTTTTTCTTTTTCTAAGTTTGGTGCTTTGGGAAAGTAAGTGATAACATGGTTGTGCACTTCTGCATTCTGCATGGTAACTTAGTCCTTGTGGCTGTTAGACTCTGAGAGGGCAGGCTCCACAGGTCTGTGGGTGGAACCCAGGCAATAGTGGGATGATGCTTTCTCTGTGTTATAATTTCTGCTGGATTCAATTCTAGTAAAGTTGACAGGCTTGAAAAATGTTCTAGGCCAGTGGTTCTTAAACTGAAGCATGCATCCGAATCACCAGCAAGGTTGGTTCAAGTCCAGATTGATGGGGGGCCCCACTTCATGGTTTCCAACTTGGTAGGTCTGGGCTGGGGAGAATGCACAGTCCCAACAAGTTCTGAGAAGGTGTTGATATAACTACCCCCTGAAGAACCCCTGTCCTGCTTTATGGCATGCAAAGTTTTCTCTATTGATCTTGACTGTTCTACTATAGACGCGGCCATTATTTAAAGGATCTCTTGGAGACAGATCACATAATCCTCTGTGAGCTATTACTAAAGTGTTGATGCGGTTGAGAGCTTGTGCACTGAGTGTTTTACATCAAAGTTCATCATTTCAAATCCAAGTTCATCCAGGGAGGTTTTCCCTACTGGGAGCTCTCTTCACACATCTGGGAGGACTGGAATAAAGCCAGCTGCAACTGATTGTGACCTCCTAATGAGTGACTATGTGTTATTTGTTCATATGTGGTCTGTGTGTACCTTAATATCTAGTAGGTTGAATATACACATTGAGGACACTCCAAAACCAGAGGAAAGTTGCACCAAAATGGCACGAATATGTGCCTAATGTCTTAGTCCAATTTCTGTTACTAGAACAAAATACCTGAGATTGAGTAATTTATAAGAATAATAGTTTATTTAACTCATGGTTTGAGAGGCTGGGAAGTCCAAAAGCATGGTGCTGGTGTCTTGTTGGCATTGGTGGTGGCTTTCTTGCCACATCATAACATAGCAGAAGGTATCACATCGAAAGACAATACAAGTGTGCTACCTTGGGGTCTCTCTTCCTCTTCTTATAAAGCCACAAATACCCTCATGATAGCTCCATCCTTGTAACCTCATCTAACTCTCTTTCTCAAACGCCCCAATTCCAAATACCATTGACAAATGGGAGTTTCCAACACAGGAACTTTTGTGGGTCACATTCAAACCACAATGCCTACCAAATGATCTAGCCATTACATTCTTTGGTGTTTTCCCAAGGCAAAAGAAAACACATGTACAATCATACATGAATGTTCACTGTGGCTGTTTGTGGTAACCTCAAACTGGAAATAGACCAAATGTTCAGAGGTGAATGGATAAACAAAATATGGTATGTATACTGTGGAATACTACTTAGCCATAAAAAGTAGTGAATTATTGATAAATCACAATAAAATGGATGATTGTCAAAATAATTATGCTGTGTGAAAAAAGAGAAAGCTGAGTGGATGTTATTTATAAAATACTAGAAAATGCAACCTGGGGTGGCAGAAAAAAGATAAGTAGTTGCCAAGAGATATGGGCATTGGGAGTGGGGAAGGATGTAAGGGAGGTATTATAAATGGTCATGAGAAAACTTGGGGCGGTGAACATGTTCATGGTAGTGATGGTCTACAGGTGTTTATATAGGTCAGAACACCAAACTTCACATTTTACACAAACACACACACACATATATATGTGCAAGTTTTTTTATGTATCAATATAACCTGGGTGAAGCTCTCTTTAAAAAAATGCCAGCTTCCACTCAAAGTGAGGGCTTTGTGTGGTTGCATTCCTGAAGGGAACTGACACTTCTGCCCTTCTCTCAGTAGAATGAGTCGTCTAACATCATATTAGGTAATGTTTCCAACTCCTTACTGAGATGGATGGCTCTGCAGAGGCTTTTCTAGATTCTCCACATCACAAACAGGCAAGGGGCTGGGGATGTAGCTTGGAGGTAGAGCACTTGCCTAGCATAAATAAGGTCCTGGGTTCAATCCCTATGAGAGAGAGAGAGAGAGAGAGAGAGAGAGAGAGAGAGAGAGAGAGAGACGGAGTGAGGATTTGTTGCTAACCAAATCCATCCAGTCTTCTTTGTGGGAAAGAAAGAGACATTTATCCAGTTGGTGATGTACTCCATGGTCAGGAGAAATTGTGAAGGTTTCTTAGTGGAGTCTTGATATGGTCCCTGTCTTCTTCTTTCACCTGGGTCATGAACTTGATGACCCAGGGGGTACATAGGGCAGTTGTGGGTGTCTTAGTGGCCTCCAGCGGACAGTGTGAACTATTGTGAGCACTTAGCTTAGGCAACTTCTTTTTCCCAAAATCCAACATGGGGTGATGCAGGTGTTTGGAATGCTGTTGTGCCTATATCCCTCTTTAGGGGAAATGGCTCACCCAAGCCCCCACAACCCAAGGGTCTTGCTCATAACATGAGATAATTATGGCCTCTGTTGATTGGGCCTGAGACAAGGGTTGCTTAGAGACAGGGTGGAGGAGGGGTCTGAGGGAGAGGTTACCTTGGGTCATGCCTGGGCTGTCATCTGGACTCTCTGACCCTTCTGACTTGGAACAACTAAAAAAAAAATCCTGAACCAACTAGATTCCTTTGTAGGAATTTGGAATTGGGTAAATGAGAGACTGAGCTATAAGCAAGCAGGGAGAATAGACTCTGAGAGATGGGATGTCAGAGGGGAGAGGGAGAGCTATAGAGGATGGGGTGGTGGCTATGACGGAGTGGGAGAGATGGACAGGCAGAATCCTTGAGGGAGCAGAAAAAAAATTGTTAACCAATAAGACCCAGACCTTGAGAGACACCCCAGAACACCCCTTTTCTTTTTAGTTCTCTAACACCAGGATATGCCCTGACATTATCATAAAGGCATAGAACTCTACCCACTCCAATTCAATCCTCAGCACTTCGCCCCTGCCTCCTCCTTTCCACTCCACCAATCTCTCCATTTACAGTTTATTTACTTTTTTTTTTTTAAATTAGCATCCTGTGGATACTCCTGATGTCAGACCCACTGTGCCACATTTATGCATGCACATTTGATAGTTTGGTCAGATTCATTCTGCTGTTTTTCCCTTTTCTCATCCCTTTTTCCTTCTCAGTCCTCTTTGTTTACTCTACTGATCTTTCCTTATTTTGATGAAATTCCCTCTCCTTGATTTTTCTTTTATTTTTTATTTTTCCTTTGTTTTTCTCCCCTTTTCAATTAAAAGAAGCAAAACACTCAATCCTGGTATGCTCCATTGGGGCAGCTGAAAGCACTCAGATGTTGGAATGAGAACTGTCTTCATCTGTAAGAATGGGGTCGTATTTAGGCTAAGATATATTCCAAGCTTGTATAATTACATCAAAGTGAATTCTATTGTCATGTGTAACTAAAAAAGAATTGATTAAAAAAAAGAACAGTTTTGAGCCTGGGATCACCATTTCACATCTGCATCAGCACAGACAATAATCGAACGGCTTCTTGCTTCAGGTTTCCCATCTGGAAACAGCCAGTAGCCCTTGGAATCAGTTTGCCAGGGATCTCCAGCTAGGACATGCCCATCATGGTTGCTGGCTGAAGTAGGTTTCCATAAACACGTTTCCTTTCTTCTCTGATTGGGAGGCAGGGTGTTTATTATTGGGGTCTTTCACTGCTTCTCACTGTCTTCCACATTCAGGGTTTTCATACTCTGCTCCAGGGACCTTTCTGCCTTTTCTTCTTAGTTGGTGCCCCAGAAGGTCACATCCGGCTCAGAACACATGTCTGTGTTTTGACTGGTATGAACAAGGTTGGTCTTAATAGTGTTTTTTTTAAAGTTTGAATTACTGCACAAAAAGATTTCTGTATTTTTGATAATTGCCATTATGACTGGAGTGAGATAAAATCTTAGAGTAGTTTTGATTTGCATTTCTCTAATTGCAAGAGACGTTGAGCCTTTTTAAAAACATTTGTTCATTATTTGTATTTCTTCTTCTGTGAAGTGCCTGTTCAGTTCCTTAGCCCGATTATTGATTGAATTATTTGGGTTTTTTTTTTTTTTGCTATTTTTTTGAGTTCTTTATGTTTCTGGGAGATTAGTGCTCTAATGATGTGGGTGTGATTAAGATTTTCTCCCATTCTGTAAGAATACAAGCAACAATAAGTGTTGTTGAGAATGTAGGGATAAGATTCACTCATACATTGCTGGTGAGACTTGCAAATTGGTACAACCACTCTGGAAAGAAGTATGGAGATTCCTCAGACAACTTGGAATGGAACTACCATTTGACCCAGTTATCCCACTCCTCCGTTTATACCTAAAGGACTTATAATCTGCATACTACAGTGATGTGGCCATGTCAATGTTTATAGCAGCTCAATTCATAAGAGCTAAACTATGGAACCAACCTAGATGCCCTTCAATAGATGAATAGATAAATAAACTAAAAAAAATCACAGCAAAATACAAAAAAAAATCAGCAGCAAAATATATATAAAAAAAGAAACTGTGGTACATACACACAATGGAATATTATTCAGCCTTAAAGAAGAATAAAGTTATGGCATTTGCAGGTAAATGGATAGAGTTGGAGAATATCATGTAAGCAAAGTAAGCCAATCCCAAAAAACCAAAGGCCAAAAAATGTTTTCTCTGATAAGCAGATGGTGATCCATAATGCGGGTAAGAAAGGGTTAGGAAAGAATGGAGGAATTTCAGATTGGGCAGAGGGAAGTGAGGGAAGAGGAGGGAGTGTGGGGGTGAGAAAGATGGTGGAATGAGAGGGACATTATTACCCTATATA